TGGAAAGAGAAGCCAAATATGAAAGTGGGGAATTATGAAGTAGCAAGCAGTAGATTACAGAATTTGAAGCGTGGATTGTTGAGGGATGGCAGTCTACACGTCAGGTATACCAAAAGTATTGAAAGTAATTTTACTAAGGGCTATGAAGAGGTCCCTGAAATACAGTTGCAGCCTAATTATCGCACCCGGTGGTATTTACCCTATCATACAATGTTAAAGTCGAAAAAGCCAGAAACCATGAGAGTGGTCCTTGATTGTGCCGCCAAATTTGCACGTGTCTCCCTAAATGATACGATTTATCAAAGACTTGACACCCCTGCTGAGCTGGTGTGCATGTTATTGCGTTTTTGCAAGGAGGCAGTTGCAATCTCTGCAGATGTTGGGGAAATTTTCAAGCAAGTGAAGGTCCCTGAGTCTGATCAAGTAGCTTTAAGATTTCTGTGGTGGCAGGAGGGAGACATGTTGAATCGACCACCATACTGTATCATGTTGACTGATTTTGAATCTTAGTTTAAATGTCCTACTTTACTTCATGGTGATTTTTGCATAACTATTACTTACTGTCCGGAACCTACTCCTGACAAAATTGAGTTTAGAAAAACTTCTGTGGTTAACCTGGGTGGTATAAAGTGTAACATGTCACCTGCTCATTCTTATTATTCTGAGCCATGGTTGAAATTAGTCAGGGCTGTAGCCTGCCTTAAAAGGTTATTAGAATTCCTGATGTTACTTCGTTCACCTAGTCACGAAGGATCAGTTCATTTAGAATGGTTGACGGCCAAGGAGTTTGATATCGCCGAGCGTAGGATTTTAATGATGATCCAGAAAGAAGTGTATATAGTATTACTTGGTGAATTTGAAAACAACATTAAAGTAGTTAGTCATAATGATTTAAAATGTTTATCACCGATAATGCTTGGTGTGTTACTCTGTGTTGGAGGTCGTCAAAGCTACTAAGATTTTCCATATGCTTTTAGACGTCCAATAATTTTGCTCGGTCGACACTTAATTACGGGAATGATAATTAGACATTATCATTAAGAACAAGCGCACAGAGAAACGTCTAAAGTACTGGACACAATTCGAAAAAGTTATTTGATAGTAAAAGGAACCAGAACGATTAGAAGGGTGATGGAAAAGTGTATGACATACCGGCGGTTGATGATGAATTCAGGACAACAACTGATGGCGTCATTAGAAAAGAGTTATGTATGTGTATTTACTTGGTTGCAACCACGAGCAGTACATATTGAAATGACCTATGGTTTGATTGTTGATTCATTCAAAGTGGCCTTATAACGTTGTATTGGAAGAAGAGTGAAACCTGCAGAAATCTACAGTGACAATGAGTCAAACTTCGTGGGTGCAGTCTCTGTACTAACGAAATTTGTGAAACAGTCAATTCAGCAGAAGATAAATAAAGAGTTGTCAGTGAGGCAGACTCAACGGCATTTTAACTCACTCACATCCAGGCACAAGTGTTGTGTTTGGGAAAGGATGATTACTTCTATAAGCCGACTATTATTGTTCATTACGAGGGAACAGACTTTAGCTGATCAGATCAGGTATGTCTCCTTGAAGGTTCGAATTAGTTCTTTGTTATTATCAATGTAGGTAGGTCGAGTAAAAATAATAATAATATTTTATTCTCAAACAACATTTTGTTACATGAGGCATGCCAGTTTACAGGCAAGATCAAATTGTTAAAAATGATACAAATTCCAACTATAGTAAATTACTCAGCTGGGTCTATAATTTATAAGATATGAATGTAGAATGGTAGGTGTACTGTTGTAAGTCCTGCTCGTTCCTGTGTAGAAGAATATGTTGTAGTACGAACCATGACCACAGGCAAGGTGGCTGGTGTTGTATGGAGGGGTTTCATGAAATTTGTTTGGAAACAACAACCGATCAAGCTGTAATGTAGTGCGGTAGACACCCTACCATATATGACCGACAGAATTGCAATGCCATGGAATTATTCCTCACTTACTGGATTGATTTCAACCTAACACAACGTCTTCCACCTATAGGGAGGAGTGATCATGTGGTCCTCTTGTTCAAGTCCATTATCGCTGTGCCCTTGCAAACAGAAACACAGGCGGATATCAACTGTGTGACCATGTGGAACGACTAAAAATTGATAGAGATTCATCAGAGGAAGATGCATAGAGTCACTTACGGCAGTTTTGCAACCACGTGACGTAGCATTTTATACCCTGTACAGTTCCGAGTGAACGAAACCATCTCATCTTTGGGCAAACTAGATGACCCAACACTCACTAAGACCAAAGTAAATACGCCGGAAAGTTGCCACTAGTCTCTGGACACCGAGCGAAATGAATGTCACAAGTCGACAATAAATGAATCCATGAACGCACCTCAACGAAATTACGGAATTCAGTAAAAAGAACGTGCAATTAAGCAGCCGAAACAACTGTTTTCGTATGTAAGTTAGAGAACAAAAACGCATTGATTATTTCCTTCTTTAGTTATAGAGATGTGTGAGTCAAAAATAATAGACAACAACCAAAACAAACCAGAATCCACGATTGGTTTCTCTGGGACGTTCTTCAACGAAGAGCTTCCTCTTAACAGGTGACAAGGGATAGAATTAATGTCACTGAACCGGCTATTTACTGAGGACCCATGTCAGGAAGACGCACCAAAGACAATAAGTTTTTCTGACCCGGAAAGATCAATTGAACCGAATGAGTTGTGCGATGAAATCCTGAGACAAATTGTATTACATATTTCTACCCTACGCATTACATTATTCAGGATGTCTTTTAGACGGAGTGAGTTGTCTGTGGACTAAAAATGTATAACTGTCACTCCGATTCACAAGATAGGATCAGGACAACTGACGTTAAACTACAAACGTACCATCTCTTCCAGTCACGCGGTTAATACATTGGATGTTGTACTCTACGAGATGGGGTTGCTGACCATCCTTCTTTACTCATGCTTGAGACCGATAGTAACCCTGGAAGTGCTACAAGCGGAATTGTAGTCTGTGCCTACTGCACACAAACAGTAATGATGACTCCAGATCGAACAACCGATCAGTAGTCTTCAAGTGATATGTGTCACATCAGATCAAACTGTGATAATTAGAAGTATTTGAATTATAGTACAAACTAGGAATCCCAGAAATAACTCGATCGGATCAAGTAGTGCTAGATAATCTCAAACGAATGTATTTTAGTTGGAATTCGAAATCAAGCACTCAACGAGTTCAAATGAATCATTAGTTCATACAAACACTATTTGAATTGAACACAGTTTGCGTTAATACGAGTCACTCAAAGACGATTAGTTCGCTAAACAGATAAACGTAGTCTGGTCTAATCGAATAAACTTTTGTTCGTTGGTTCTATATTTTCTTCGTTAAAAGGTGGTTTAAACCACTTTCAAAAACTCTTGAATAGACCAGCCCCACTAGACCTAGCGGACATCGAAGCAGCAAACACAGACCTACCTATAAACATCACCCCACCAACTATTGTGTTGATGGTGTCGTTCGAAAGAATAAAGAAAGCTTGACGAACCTACCATCCAGGTCAAAGAACAGATACACACTGTACCAAAGCATTCTCCATTACCGTCAACAGGGGTGCATTATATAAAGAGATTTTGGGTCCTACAGTTGCCATTTCCGTTCGACTAATACCACGTGTGTCAAAATTTCCTAATATCAGGCATCTGTTATTTTTGCTACATAGCTTAAAGTAAAGTCATCAGCCAAGTAGATTGGGCTACCATAAATTATGCCGAGTGTGAATGCACAATATCCAAATGTGATTTCGCAGCTGCCGACTTCACAAGTTTCACTATCATAAGATTCACAACAAAGTAGTGGGTGTTCATATTGTTAGTTGCGCATATAAGGACCCCACACGCTTTCCTGTATCCATTCCTAACACTTCACAGGCAGCTGTGCCTCGATAAGCCTGAAGTGACGCCAAAGTCATAGATTAACAAGTTCGAGCCACAGCTACTATGGGTGGCTTTAGACCATTCACTAATACTCCTAGTTCACGGAATCTTTTCCCTAGAGTACGACCTATCGATAATAACCTTCGAAACACACTCTTTCAAGACCTGACGCATTCCCAGTAAATCTAGTGCCACCTCCTTTTTCCATCCTATCTTCTAATGACATGTCAAGTCTCACTCAAATGCCGGTGATACCTTGACTCCGAACATTAGACAACAAAAGATTTCACAATTTCTACGATCCCGTGATTACTTTAGGGAGTTAACATGGTATTCGCTCAACGTTTTTGTTGGCCCTGTTACCCACGTTTACCAGTCGTTTGATATGGAATCCTGTAGAGGCACCTGGTTAGATTCTAGGAATAAAGTATCCAACTTTTTCCAAATCATGAACGCGTCGAATTTTTGGATCATGGTTGTTTGATCGCGGCAAATTACCTGTAATAATATTCGATGAGATCAAGATTTTCCCAGTCACGCTAGGGTTAAGTCTAGTTTCTCCTCAATACTTTGCCAGTGTATTCTGTGACTCAGGACGGAGGTTGACTGAGCATTATTCAACCGAACAGGTACTGTTTGTGACACGGCCGTCCATTTACCGTCACTCGGGACAGCCACATCGAGACCACATGAAACGCCGACGGTTTGGTTCGGGTCTCCAAGAGCCATTTTAGAATACTGACCACTATTATCCAGCTGTATCCACACATGGTTTGTTTCGAAGGAGATAATCCATTACTACGATTCGCAGTCGAGTGTTTGACCTACCCCATAACAGTGCGTGCTACACTGACGTTAATAGTACAGCGCACCATCACAAACAGATCAAGAAAAATAGTCATCTTTATTGGTCAATGCAATAACGTAAATTTAGTCACTTACTATGCTGAACTTAAGTGTTAGAAATCCCTCATTCACTTAAAGGTTTGTTCACAATTTTGACTGTCTAAGCGTGGAATATTGGATTTTGAAGCACTCTGAATACGCCGGGTCATGTGAGAATGGACGATACGGATGAAATAGATTTTCTTAATTATGTTTCTTCCGGACAATGTGAGAGACCTCGTGAGCCCGTTCTGATAAAAGGTTGTGGAGATGTAACAATGTGAGTCAACTTTTCGGAAAGTTCAGCATTTGTAGTAGTTTGTGACTAACCCCAAAATTAAAGTTTCTTTTACCTGGCCAGTAAAGCTTATTGGTTTAGCCTGAATAGTATTCCCTTTAGTTCTAAAATTTCATTCACTCGGAATTCTCTTCACATTTGCAGTGAACATTTATCTTGAATGGTTGTTAGAGTGTCTGTTTTTGAGATAATAATATTAATAAGTTGATTGTAAGCATGTATAGTTCTAAATTTTTATAAATCCCTACATGTATACTAACCAAATAACCTCTCCGTGTTTTTAGATAGCTTCAATCATCAGGTACAATTTTTCTCTCAAAATTTGTATTAAAATACTCAGTCTTGAAAGTGTTGCCAGTTTTCGATCTGAATTGTGTAGTGTCCTAACAGGATTATGGCAGTAGATAACTAACAAAAAAGCAGTACGCCGTAAAAGATGAATGGGGAGTTTTAAGTAGCAATTCAATGAGCTTCATCACACTAACACCCTAAGCGAAGACTTGTTTGTTCCTAAAATTCACAAGTTAGAAAGCATATATGAATAAACTGATTGTATATTAATTCTCACCCACCACGTGGTCTAATAAAACGTCCTCTGTAGCTGCTACCACTGGTTTGAGCAGGACTTGACAGTGACCGGAGTCTGATGAAAGTTCTCCTATCCCCTCAACGTTACATTCTACCACCGAGTACTTCTGACCGTTGGCATCAGGCGATCAGATGTCGGTAAATTTAAAGATAATTTTCACCAAAACTCGAATTACTATTCTTCTGTAAATCATTTTATATATTTTCAACGTATTGGTCAAACTGACATTTTAGTGTGTTTCTACATAGCTACAGTACGTTCTTTTTTGACCTATTAATTTCTTATAAATTTCGCTAGTTGCAGGATAAAAATCGATTCAATTATTTTTCGAACCTATCTTAATCATATGTCGATCGTTAGTCATAGATTATATGTTGTGGCCCTGTAGTCTACTTATATAATCATGTACGTTTCGATAATCAATGTGGTTTCGACATTTGTCTAGCTTCTGACGTTCTAACTAAAACTTTAAAAAATCACAAAGTTACGCAGTCTGCTCATCTTTCAGCGATCACGCTATCAAAGTTAGTGAATTTGCCATTGAAGTCATGGTCAAGAATGCAAATTTTACCAGTAGACCATAAGTCGGTTACCTTGTAGTAGAACAAAGTTACTACTTGTCATAAAATATTGAGTAAAATTACCAATGGAAAACTCCTGGAAACGAGAATTCTGAGTCAGTATCATTCGAAGTATCCATAATTTGATTCACCCATTTCACCAAGCTTGGCTGATCTTATTAAAGAGATCTGTTTCGTACGAATTTCTTCTGGGAATTGTATAATCTCAAATGCTTATTTATTTTCTCACAATGATTACCAACAATATATTTGTTAGTAACGACAACAATTTCGCCGACGTAAAAAGGAGCGAAGTAGGCAAAACATGAAAAATGTTTTTCCTATTAAAGTTCTGATGATCTGAGAAAGTGGTATTTGTAAATATACAGTTTGGGAAGCAAATGCGCTTAAAGATCTCTTCAATGAGTCTTTTCTTGTCCAATGTCTCATCTGGCGTTTCCCGTCTATAATCTCAGTGAATTGTGGACCTCTTCCCTAAATATCATGTTAACCGTTTTACCGGGATTTCTCACTGAACCAGACTCCAATTAAATCAAAGTACACAAAATCCATTCTCATGGAAATGAGAGCAAGGTAAGGTTCCAGTCAAGCAGTATAGATAAGCCACATCTAAGAAAGGCTTGTAAGATAAAACATTCCGCCATGACAACTTAATTTTTGTAACTTGGATTTGTTCTTACACTCCATTTCTCATGCGTTGGAGCACTTAACGTAGTCTATGGAAATTAACGACTCTCTGTTTATTTGCTAGTGGGTAGTTAATTTTGCTTATTGTTAGTCGGTTCGGATCTTAATACACTTTTCTGTAATTTTTGAGCTCCTACTACACCTAAAATAGATCCTTAATGAGCTTATCTACACAGGCAATGACAATTGTTACTGACTGTCAGTCTGGACGTAATCTTTCTCCATCTTATTTTCTCTTTAAACGGTGTCCTTCACTATTTCGTGTTCTTTCTATTTCTTATTCTCCCTTACATATCTTCAATACAATATCGTTTCTATTTCTGTGGCTCGTTTTTCAGTCTAAATAAGGTAAATTGAACCGAGATAGATGTGTGCCACCCAAGTAATTAAGTTCAGTAATGGTTGGAATAGCAGTATTGTGTCGCAAGTAACACTTACTTTTAGTGATTTCGATTTACCGAATACTATTGCCTATGATGATTGTCTAGAGGGAAAACTTCATTGAGCTTTTACTTGAACAATTTACTCATCCAATCTTTTTATGTATTTGATCTGAAGCAACATATGTGACTTCAAGACTGCTGATCCATTTTTTCGATCTGGAGTCATCATTACAGTTAGTGTGCAGTAGGCATAGATTATCGATATCAGTAACTTCGTCGTGTAAACATGTTTACATTTTGATGTTGACCATATCTCACCTATATAGACTAATTAATTTTTGACAGCTTGTATGGAATAAAAGAGTGAAATGACCAGTGCATTTAGCTCCTCTACCCTTTGACATCTGAATATGATAAGAACACTAGGTAATTAGTGAATGTGTAGATTTGAATAATATACAACCACCGGAATTATTAGTTTTCATTGTCATATGAATTCACTACGTAACATCAGTCTACGAAGTCATTGACAATTAAACTGAGCTATGTCAACAAGTGTAGGAAGCAAGAACAAATTTTCTAGCAGAATAGCAATAATTCATTTTATTTCGTTTGGTTATTGTCAGCTGCTTACAACCTGTGATGTTTAAAATCGTAATTACAAAATGGTTTCAAATCAATTACACAACAGATGTTAGTTGTTTTCAAAACTCATCAGTATAGTATAGCATGGGTGTAAACAAATTTAGTAGACTGAATAGGATATTGTAAATATATACCTTATGTGGAAAAACATTCTACAAAATTGTTTGTAACAAGAGTTTAGAGGGCTAAAAACAAGTGAATACATAATGAGTAAAACTCAGTTGATAAAATGAGATTACTAATCTAGAAGGTAGTTGAAATGAAAAGACGTAATGGTGTAATTAAATGAAGTGAAGAATTGAAAAAAATATTTAAGATACAGTAAAGCAATGTTTGTCACTAAAGCAATGAAAGATTAATGAACATCCTTGGAACACAGAAGTCAGGTTTCCGACGCCTGATGACAACTGCTTCAGCAAACTTCGGAAAACTGAGACTTGACTGTCTATTAATCACCTTGAAAGATTGCAAGATATCGACCTGATGTCTTGTATCCAAGAAAGGTTTGGTAATCACATTGTTCAAAGTCGTTATTTCGCTTGTTCTAAGGCTTTTTGGAACATGTTCAAAGTAAGTGTAAACTACCTGATTGGGGTCTGTGTGATTATCGTAACCAATGGTTAGAGACTTTGGATGGTATCGCTCAAAATCGTTTGGAATAACACAGGTGCATCCATTGTTTGTCTTCCTCCAAACTCTGAACTCCTAACAACGTTTGGTGCCAATCACTACTGGTACTGTTGCTACCTCAACCATTATAGGATATGACCTGAAAATTTCATTTCTGGTAAATTAAACTAATATATATACGTACCAGGTTTTACATTGTAACTGACTAACTTTACAGCATCACTGTTTGACCTGAAAAGTTCTACAACTTATAAAAATGTTTGAAATAACAAATTTAATCAAGTCTCACAAATGACGTGAAGAATACAGTATCCAAATAAGAATTTACTTATGTAAGTTACAGGGGAATTTACAATGTTGTATACTGAATTCGGTGCAGTTAGAGTGGTATCAATTTCCTTTCGTTCTCACAATAATGCTGTTTGTCAACTTCCAATATGTGTAAGATTCAATGGAATTTTTTGTAATGATTGGACTTAACAACTTGATTCTACAAGTGTATATAGCGTCCCAGAAATCTTTAGGTTTTGATTAAACTCATGCAAAAGATTTGATTAATTGCTTTTTTAGATTTTGAAAATGAGTAAGACAGTTATTGCCTGACAAGAATCAATTCAGCAATAGTCACTAATATTGAGTTTTAACTTACCTTTTATTGTGAATCGTTTGATTGTTATACATCCAGTGGCAACACCATGTCAGTAATGCAGAGGTTTGGCATCGTGTGTTCGGGCACAGAGACGACAATCCAATTGGTGTCACCATCTTGAAACACCGGCTTGGGTGGCTTGGACATGTTCTACGAATGTCGTCTCAGAGAGTTCCACGTCGTGCATTATTTGCCGACGCTGGGACTGGTTATTTATTTATTTTAACACATAAATATTGGTACAAGGAGGCACCAAATACATATGCGTCACACAAATCTCAATTGATTTGTGTGAGGGCTGTGATACTGCCCGGGTGCCCAAACCGAAGCAGGTCTGGGACTGGTTGGAAAAAGCAGAGAGGTGGTCAGTGTATGACACGGTGTCGTGGTATGAAAGAAAGCTGCAAAGGGCTGGCTTGTGTTGGTCCTTCACGACTCCCTGGAAGGGTACCTAGAGATGGTGCAACACTATAGCTAGAGACGTTATCAGATATGGCCCAGAATAGAAGCCAGTGGCGATCCTGCTGTAACTTCTTTAACTTTCTTCATAGAAAGTGGTTGCTTCTTCCTTAACTGAAAGATTTCTTCTGATTGTACCTTTTCGTTCCCCACATTGTTATTACTATTACACTACCTTAGACTAATCTGTTCATTATTGTTCTTTTATTTTTCCCCTTCTCTTTAAGTTCTCATTGTTTTGTGTGGCGCATATATATTTGGTGCCCTCTTGTACCAATATTTATGTTTTCAAATGATTAAATAAATATGCCTTTTATTGCTCACAGAATATTTTATGTATAGTGTTTTTATTGAGCAAAATCAATTATTATTAGTTAGTAAATAGGACTATCTTATCTTTTCATCTGCGTAACCTTCCAGCATACACTTTTCTTGTCACTATTTTCGTCGGTGAAGCTAAGTCCGCGTTTTTACTGTACATTTTTTATTGATTTTACAATAAATCAGGTGTTTATAATCAGAAATTTACCTGTACAATATAGTTTGTAATGTAAATCTGCTATTCAGTAGTTTAAATATTCTTTTTAGTTAGCTCTAACAGAGATTCATTTGTCCAAGTTGTAAGCAGCAAAATCTAGACATGGTTCATAACTTTCTTGATAAACCCATGTTAATTTACTTACTCATAACATTCACATATAAAATTATATCATGCATTTCACTTTGTTTAATTAAAATAATGTTAGCTTTGGTATGAACAATAAATTCAAGGAAGAATTCCCTAATGAATTACATGGTAAACTAGCTCCTGAAGAATTTGAGGAAAGTATACGTAAAATTAATGAGCGCTTGGAGAATTCACTACCTAGTCATGTTAGATGGTTTCTTGTGGGTGATGATTGTAAGTAACGTTCACTTTTAGTGATTTCGATTTACTGAATATTATTGCCCATCATCTTCATTGTCTAGAGGGAAAACTTCGTTGAGCTTTTACTTGAACAATTTATTCGTCTAATCATGTCGTGTGTCTAGTTACCAATATACGAATATTCAGCCTGAATACAAAACTAACGATCAAAAGTTTATTCTGTTAGACCAGACAACGTTAATCTGTTTAGCGTACCAATCGACTTTGAGTGACTCGTATGAAGTCACTGAAGATTTTCATTGTATTCCATGCTTCCTCTGAGATATGGTGATTTTCATAATCCACTTAACCACCAGAATAAGAAGAAAAGTCGAAGGCGTTCCAGCCGATGTTTTAACCACACTTCATTTGTCTGTTGACCATGAGAATTTATTCAATAGTTGGTGGGGTGATGTTTATAGGTAGGTCTGTGTTTGCTGCTTCGATGTCCGCTAGGTCTAGTGGGGCTGGTCTATTCAAGAGTTTTTGAAAGTGGTTTAAACCACCTTTTAACGAAGAAAATATAGAACCAACGAACAAAAGTTTATTCGATTAGACCAGACTACGTTTATCTGTTTAGCGAACTAATCGTCTTTGAGTGACTCGTATTAACGCAAACTGTGTTCAATTCAAATAGTGTTTGTATGAACTAATGATTCATTTGAACTCGTTGAGTGCTTGATTTCGAATTCCAACTAAAATACATTCGTTTGAGATTATCTAGCACTACTTGATCCGATCGAGTTATTTCTGGGATTCCTAGTTTGTACCATAATTCAAATACTTCTAATTATCACAGTTTGATCTGATGTGACACATATCACTTGAAGACTACTGATCGGTTGTTCGATCTGGAGTCATCATTACTGTTTGTGTGCAGTAGGCACAGACTACAATTCCGCTTGTAGCACTTCCAGGGTTACTATCGGTCTCAAGCATGAGTAAAGAAGGATGGTCAGCAACCCCATCTCGTAGAGTACAACATCCAATGTATTAACCGCGTGACTGGAAGAGATGGTACGTTTGTAGTTTAACGTCAGTTGTCCTGATCCTGTCTTGTGAATCGGAGTGACAGTTATACATTTTTAGTCCACAGACAACTCACTCCGTCTAAAAGACATCCTGAATAATGCAATGCGTAGGGTAGAAATATGTAATACAATTTGTCTCAGGATTTCATCGCACAACTCATTCGGTTCAATTGATCTTTCCGGGTCAGAAAAACTTATTGTCTTTGGTGCGTCTTCCTGACATGGGTCCTCAGTAAATAGCCGGTTCAGTGACATTAATTCTATCCCTTGTCACCTGTTAAGAGGAAGCTCTTCGTTGAAGAACGTCCCAGAGAAACCAATCGTGGATTCTGGTTTGTTTTGGTTGTTGTCTATTATTTTTGACTCACACATCTCTATAACTAAAGAAGGAAATAATCAATGCGTTTTTGTTCTCTAACTTACATACGAAAACAGTTGTTTCGGCTGCTTATTTGCGCGTTCTTTTTACTGAATTCCGTAATTTAGTTGAGGTGCGTTCATGGATTCATTTATTGTCGACTTGTGACATTCATTTCGCTCGGTGTCCAGAGACTAGTGGCAACTTTCCGGCGTATTTACTTTGGTCTTAGTGAGTGTTGGGTCATCTAGTTTGCCCAAAGATGAGATGGTTTCGTTCACTCGGAACTGTACAGGGTATAAAATGCTACGTCACGTGGTTGCAAAACTGCCGTAAGTGACTCTATGCATCTTCCTCTGATGAATCTCTATCAATTTTTAGTCGTTCCACATGGTCACACAGTTGATATCCGCCTGTGTTTCTGTTTGCAAGGGCACAGCGATAATGGACTTGAACAAGAGGACCACATGATCACTCCTCCCTATAGGTGGAAGACGTTGTGTTAGGTTGAAATCAATCCAGTAAGTGAGGAATAATTCCATGGCATTGCAATTCCGTCGGTCATATATGGTAGGGTGTCTACCGCACTAGATTACAGCTTGATCGGTTGTGGTTTCTAAACAGATTTCATAAAATAATGTTTCTAGTGATCCACCTATGGCTATCCAAAGGCAACTGACGCTCCAAGACCACACAAAGGAGGGAGGTCGGACGTGAGGTCTGAAAAACATCTTGTAGAAAACCCATTGGACCTAAAGTGGACACAAAAGATTAGATCCGGGAGAGGTGCTACTGTATTTTGGTCATGAAGAAGAAAATGGTCCTCACTCACAGAAAGTTGCTCTGTTGCCATACAAGGAAGTACACAATCCACTTATAGAATGGACATGTCATGGAACCAGGGTCATCAAAGCATTTTTCAAAACAAAGGAGAGAATCACAACGAATGTTATCCAAAGTTACTCACCCAACAATGATAGCAAAGACGACGACTGAGGGGAGGGGGCGAGATCGGTGACAGATCTTTAAATTTACGCGCATTCAACAACACGGTTATAGGCGGTATAATATTCCCACGTAGACGCGTACCTGAGTCTCAACGAATCACACTACACAGAACCATATCGAGCTTTATAGCTGGCAAACGGAAACACGTGGAAGACATAGCAACGACAGTGGATAAAGATGTAAGAGAAGGAAATATGAAACAACTATATGACACAACGAAGGAACTAGTAGGGAAATATAGTAAACCAGACAGATTAGTCAAGGACAAAGGAGGCAAACGAATCACTGAGACCACAAAACGGTGGAACAGACGAGTTGAACGTTCTGAAGAACTCTCAAATGGACCAGCCACACTTGACTCACCGGACATGGAAGCAGCACCTAAAGATCTCCCCATAGATGTCACTAAACAACGATCGAGGAGATCAAGATGGCCGTCAGATAAATCAAGAGTGGGAAAGCAGCAGGATGTGAGAACATACCAGATGAGGCGCTGAAGTCACACATAGAAGCAACTTCAAACATGCCCCACGTTCTATCCAGGAAGATTTGGGGAGAGGAACAAATGCCAACAGACTAGAAAGAAGGAAACACCATCAACATACCACAGAAACAAGATCTGAGCAAGTGAGAACTATAGAGGTATCACACTACTGTCAGTACGGGGAAACGTTTTCAACAGTGTTGTTAAACCGCACGAAAGACTCAGTAGATGTCCAACTTCGAGATCAACAGGCCGGACTCCGCAGGAGTCGGTCGTGCACAGACCAAATAACAACACTACGGATCATCGTTGAACGATCAACTGAATGGAACTCGTCACTATTCACCAACTTCCTTGACCATGAGAAAGCATTCGACAATGTGGATATGAGAACCTTATGGAATCTTCCTCGACACTATAGTGAGCCTGAGGAGATCGTCAATATCATCCCGAATTCATACGATGAACTGCACTGCAAAGTCGTGCATGGAGGACAGATTACCGATGCACTCCAAGGGGGGACCGGAGTCAGACAAGGTTAACTACTCATCATCCATCCCCATCTCTTCTGGTGGTCGACTGGATTATGAGGACCTCTACATCTGAAGGAGAGCAGGGAATTCAAAGGACCGCTTGCATGCAACTAGACAACTTGGTCTTCACCGATCACATAGCTCTTCTATCCCATACATACCAACAAATGCGGAACAAGACAAACAGTGTAGCAGCAGTCTCTGCACCAGTAGGCCTCGACATATACAAGGGAAAAACCAATATCCTCAAATACAACACAGAGAACATCAGTTCAATCACACTTGATGGAGAAACTCTGGATGAGGTGGAAACATTCACATACCTGGATAGAATCATCGATGAACGTAGAGAATGTGATATAGACGTAAAGGCAAGGATTTAAAGATCAAAGGCAGCATCCCTACATATTGAACTCAAAGCAGCTGTCTATCAACATCAAAGTAGGCATCTTCAATACGAACGTCAAAACAGTTCTACTGTGTACGGAGCAGGCATAAGTAAGCACCTCTAGAATTTTCCAGCTCAGAGAAGATTTATCGAAGATGCTTCGGGGTATTTCAACAATAAGCACTATCATCAAAGATTTAAAAAATCTCAAGTTAGAACCTCTCTGAATCGGCCGCATTAATTTAAACCTTATTTTTATCTGTCGGTTTATAAATGATATTTCCTACTCTTCGGCATCCATCTCTTCACACTATGTCATCCCACAACTCGCGCAATAAAACGAGCATTCCGTCGATCCCGAGAACTCACATCAGAATTTCCTCGTTATTTAACGATGTGGAGCAGATTTCCAGTGAGCCTACGTTGTAGTGTAACTGTAACCCAATTAAAAAGTCTCACTGATGACTTCCTCTCTGAAAGTGGTTTGCGTCACCTAATAAATATCAGTGTGATTACGATGATTTATACAAACAAGCTCCGGCATCTACTTAATTGAATGTAAAACAAAGTAGGACTTTTGACATTTCATTTATTTGCTTGATTTTTTCATGTGAATATCGAAAGCCCGCTTATGTTCATATTTACTACCATTATTATTATGACTGATCCCCTGACACATTCGATAGTGTTTTTCTTCTCTCTTTTCATCCCGCAAAAATTTTAGTCCAACCCATCCACAGTTTGTAACTAGGAACACAAAATCTTGCTTAATACTTACTTAAATGAATTGACTTTTCAGTGTCATTTTATCTTCATCACGTATATATGACACATGCAGAATGATATTTGACGATCATTCTTTGCAATCAAATAAGACCTTTATTGCATCATTCGAAACTGTTACTGCGTAAACTCTTACTCTACCATCAAATGTTGCCACGTTAACGATTTATCGTTTAATTCTTTTCATAATACATATACTGCCGTCTATTTTCGTTCTTTTTCACAAGCATACTTATTTACACACTTCATTTTTATTTTCTTCCTTTTTTGCAGTCAATTTAATATTCTTCCAAATACTATAGAACCTGTCTAAATATGACGAATAGTATGTAAACATGATTGAGACATGTGTAAAGCTACATTTCTGAAGAAGCCTGAAACTGTGTCTTCACAACACTTATGTACCGATAAGCTGAATGTGAATAATAATAATAACACTGACGCACGCAATAGTTGGCGCTATCAAGCGCCAGTTAGAAGACTTGGACTGGGATATACGTCGGTTGGCATTCACCACAAAAGTATGCTTTAATGACCATCTTTAACAGATTATCAGCTCATAAGGGAATAGCGCTTAGTTACAAAAAAGGCCAATAACGAAAGTAAACTTAAAGTTGATTTACGGTTTCGAGATAATCAATGAAATCTTATACGTTAAATTATTGATCGTGGTAAGAAAAGTGGTTAAATTTACATATTGTGAGATGGGCTAGCGTTGTGATCTGGCGCTATAAACTAATAAGGTTTCCTTCATCAGCTGACATAAGCTATAATACATGAAAGGACTAACGTGATCATATGTGGCAAGGCGCCCAAGCGTAACAAATAATTAAATTAAGAGAGCCGGTCTATGACCTGCTTGCGAAAGCAAGGCTAAGGCGTACACAGGATAGTATCAGAGAACAAACCTGCACAACCAAACCATAGAATTGCTGAACTGTAGCCGTGAAGTAGTCATGATACACTATGACAGCAAGTTTTAAGTTGAACTACTTTATTGATCACAGAAGTGAAGCGTAACACTAGCAAGATCAAAGATTAAATGGGTTAATATTTGCATTATAATGGCATTGGATGTCCGAAGAAAAGTATTCTAACGAATCCTCCAACAGCGAGAATTCAAAACTAATGAAAATGGGATTCACAAAATGTCATTAATTTAGACACTTCATATCGGGATGTCAGATGAAAAGTGGACGTAACTGACCCAATGTTGAAATTGCTGAGGCATTCACAACATTATCTAAGGTAGAAATATTTGTTCACAGTAATAAATTGTAATACGCTTTTGTGTTAAAGAAACAAGTTATCAGAAAGCTAAAGATTTTATTGTTAAAATAAACGATCATACCAACTTCACTCAGTGTAAATATGATGATAATGATCACAATTATCAACAAGTCATTTGGCAAATAGGGTCTGGAACAGATTTGGAAGTACGCAATCTGCGCATATACAATAGGTTAAGTTTGTTGTACACAATTTTTGAAATTACAAAAGCATTTCACGAAGTAGTTTTATGCACATGTGATACAATAATCATATGTAACATTACTGAACCAAAGTATTTAAATAAGTTTCCATGCAAAAAATATTCACATGGAAAAAAGGATTTCAAACTTATTCTACAACAGTGTACATTTACTATTGGACAATGGAAAATACAAATGAGTCAGTATCCACAAACTTCTGAATACATACACAAAATTTTAGCGAAAAAAATGGATAGGCAAAGATTTCGGTAGGTTCTTCAAGAATTAAACAACGATATCAGTTGCCTTATTTGTTACTGTAACTTGCTTACATGATTGAGGAATCCAACTAGTCGAATCCTTTAGATCACCATTAACCAAAGGTTCAGTAGTTAGTCTAGAAAATTCATTTGATAATTTACTTTCATGATCCGTGTTGAGTTCCGATAGTTGGTCCTTGTCATTTGGTGTAAGGAACACACCAGATATAGCTGATGAATTAGCTGCTTCAATCATATTCTGACGTAATATATCTATTTGTGAGGTTGTTAGAAATGCATTTGCCATTGGAAAATATTCATTGCAAGCAGAGCGATACTTTTCTATGACAGATGGGTCACAACGCCCCAGTAAAGTCCACTGACCTCTCCGCAAAATATCTAAACACGTGCGGCATTCCTAAAACAAGTAGGATGCGTATATCATTACTTTTACTACGAAGAAAATATCATTAAAAACGGTTGAAAGGTATAATATTACTTACATAAAAAATAAGATATGGACTGAACACAAACAGAAATACCATCTAAAGGAGTTAATATCAACATAATTAAAGTAATATTAGTACTTATGTGGTGCAGCGTGAGTAGTCTGCTCTTATATCCAACAACTGCTCATTCACATGTCGTTTGTTTGGTGGAGTAGAACTAAAAGTATCGAATTCGGATCCAAGGACGAAGTCGTACTGCTGACCATATAGGGGTTTGACAGTAGTAAAAGTTTTTCTTCTGACAACCAGCATCTGCAGCTATACTGCCTTCTGATAAAGGATGGGGTTTTAAAAATGGGAGAACATAAAAATGTCACATCTCACCTTACCCCATGCATTACCGTTTTCAACGGTAAGGCCTTTTTGAATTGCGGAGCTAACACGTCAGAAACTCTCCATAAAAAAAGCTGTAGGTGACCGGCCGCAAGTAGTTATCTCTCGGCCTCTGAAGTCACACTTCCAGGTCAACAGGACCACTACTAACTCAGTTTCTTTTCAGGTCCCTTAAGAAATCATCCATGTAGACTCTTAAATACTTAGCACTATATTAAACGACTTAGTATTGTTTGTTTGAATCTGCCCATTGATTGATCATTTGCAGTCTTAATCAATGGAAAGATTCAAATAAACAATACCAAGTGAATTTAAACTTCGCCCCATTACACAAGCAAGCGGTTATCAGGACTCAGTAGCTAAGTGGATAACGCAATGGCGTTTGAAGTGAACTGTAAAAAAGGACTCGAGTCCCAGAGTGAACATCAACTCTGTGATATAGGTACATCAGCTGACGAGTCTCAAATAGGACGGAGCGCGTCACCTATATTCCACTGCTAGCCACCATCCATCTTTGGCTATATTAAATGGTTGAGAAGGAAATTTGTGAGTTCGCCATTTTTGCTTCTTTATTTTTGTCGAAGTCAATCACTTGTAATTAAAATTAGTAACGAAGGTTTTTAATAGGTGTATTACGAGAACAACTTAGTTCATTCGCAGCTTTTTCTACTGTCCGAACAGTTTTCAGATACTTCCACTAAAAAGTCGAGAATCGTAAGGAAAATAACAAATGTTTAGTCAACTACGGTTTTTTGCATGTATCAGAACCGATTTTTTTGCCACGACATCATTATTGGTCCTACAGATAAGCATCAAAATTGCATAGGAATAAAAAGTTTATCATTTCAGTAGTTAGTAGCATTGTAGTTATATCAGTCGGAAGGAAAGAAAACACTCTAATTTAGGGATGATGCATCAAGACGAAAACTTATCCTACAAACGTTGTTTGAAATAGATAGGAACCACAAAACTGATGCAAAAAATAATGCGATTCCAATAGAAGTAATCAAAATATTTGTTCGATAAAAAGACAAAACAGATCCACATGGATGAAACGACACTATTCAATACATAGTGTCTCTCCGGTAGTAAAAAGGATTAAATCAAAGTGCGAAATCCAACACTTACTTGCCATGTAACACCTTTAAAGTTATCATTTGGTAATGGAATCTTACTAAGATAATTATCTCTATGTTGTGGGTCAATCAGACATTGACACAACGTATCTGGAAAAATAATAAAAATAGAAAAAACAGAGGATAAAAGAGAGACAACAGAGAAATAACGATTACCAGAGAAGTGGAAATAGAAACATGTGAAATTAAAAAGAAATCCAAGTGATATAGTTCTACTAAGATATATTAAAATAATCAAGAGAGAACCTAATAACATACATTATAATGTATTGTTGTCAGTAGGATACCTTTCTTTTTATCATTTTAGTCACTGGATGAACATATCTTTCAAAACATAAACGAGCTTAACAGACCAACGATCTATGCGAAATGAGTGTTTTTTTCATAATTGCGAAAACTGATTTCACTTCGTAAATATGTAATATTCTCTAATCGCTAACGGTATGGTTGACATATAAATTATCGTTTTACTTAAAAACAAATAACATCCAGGTTTTAATTTATTTGGCTACTTAAATATTGTGAATTTATCATTCTGTGGATCATAAAGCTGTACCTGTCACTGCCTTCATCTATTATCATCCTATGTTCAAAAACTAAGATAAGGAAACGATAAGTTAATAAAATGTTATGAGCATGTACATCATATAGCAAACTGCTTTCAAGAAAAACATTTGTATCCAAAAGATCGGAATATTTCAGGTACAATAACTTGAAAAAGTGCTGATACGGTTACTGGTATGGTTATTATTAATGATCATGGTAAAGCTGCTGCTTGATACTTATTACAACGGAACAAGACCAATATTCCTATCGCAGAGAAGGCAAGATTGTCAGTCAATTATAGTCATGCGCAACGTAGAACCTAACGCATATGTGTATTGGCCCAAGTTACCGCACTACATTAACACAGTAAGATAAGATTAATCTAAGACAAATCTCAGAGTAGTAAAAGTATCACTAACAGAGGAAAAGATTCGACATACAAAAATAAGAAAGGTATAAGATTTCAGGACTGAGTTTCTGGAGTAGGACAAGGAGTGAATCGATTTACCATTCTTATCTGGTGTCCATATGCATAAACTCACCATTTCTTACTCCGTGGTCCCAAAATATACGAGCGATGCTTTGAAAACACCTATAGTTGAATGCTAGTAACCTAAGAATATCCTCTATTCTTAATCGTCATATTTCACAACTACGAAGTCGAAAGAGATGAACTGATGCGTGGTATACACGCCACAAGTGACTCAAGTTGGCAAAAGCCAATCGAGATTTCTTCAGAAACCAGCCCATTATGACTGGTGAAACTCCCTCAAGATAGAGCAATACAGTAAATAAAAATTATTTCTTTACTAACTGAATACATTACTGAATAAAACATAAGAAATTATCACGAAATATAAATATGTCCTTTCATATATCCAGTAAATGCAATAAACTGAGTAGTTGACAATAGTTGACACAAATCAAGTGACTTGTATGGTACATATGAATTCGGTACCTCTTTGTACCAATATTTATGTGGTCAAATAAATAAGTTGACATTAACCGATCAGTGATTATAAATACATTGAAGTAGTCAGTAAGCATGGCAGGAATGTTAATGCAATTTTAAAAATTATTCCAAAAAAAGCAGCTATCATTATGCTCAAACCGCTGATATCAATAAAGTTATTCTACGAACTTCAATAAACTGAACCGAAGGAACTCAACTAGTATATCAGTAATGAAGTGAAGGGATGAGATAATAGATGGTTCAATAGCTATTTTCTGGTACGAGCAATAATTTTACAACTACTTGACTTACAAAAAAGTGAAACTATGCAGTCGATACATTTTAAACTACTACATTTTAATACGTTCTAGGTGAGAAAGCTTAAGCAAAAACAAAATCAGTTATAGAATTACGTCATACGTATTAATTATCGAATGTTGTAAAGGATGAACAGACATGTGTGTGGTGTCTGCTACTTATGTCGATCGACATAAGTAATATGTGTACCAATTGGAAGTGAAAAATCTGGCGGTAGAAGACTAAAATTGAGTTGAAGAGAATAAAAGGGGAAATATAAAGGGATTGTGAACTGGAAGAACCATACAAAATGTGAAGGAAAATGATGGAAATTAGCAAATGAAGCATTCACTGTATGATTCTCATATCTTACCAATAGATTCTGTAATTTTGTATCCATATATAATTGACTGCCCCACTTGTGTTCTCGTTTACTACATGTATACATTAAAAATTTGGTCACTACAAAGCTCCAAGATGTGTTTATAAGTGTTTGAATAGAATAAAACTTTATAGAATGTATTACTCGACAGAAAAACGCTTGGCGAAACGACGCTACCAGTACCAATAAACTCCTTAATATCTCATTGTATTAAGTATGATTGAAGGAATGGGTTCCAAAACAAAATTTTACTAAGTTGAAGAGACAAGATGCGACCGAAGTGCAAAAAATGTAAACAGTGTTTAAAATACTTGGAACAACTCCCTTCGAAAAAGATGAATAAAAATCAGGCAACCGACCATGATGATTATATGACATGTTATATACATAATCGACAGCTGAAGAGTCGGTCATTTAGTAGCTTATAAATGATATCAAATAAACTGCATACACAACTATTGACTGTCTAATACACTGAGATTTTTCTTTCTTTCTACCAAGACACTGAAATGTTGGGTAATTGCTAAACATTTCAACACATCAGAATTTATGTGAAAATATATAAAACATTTTAGTCTTTGTTGACCTATGCTTTAAAGGCGATAGTTGCAACTACTAACTTAAGAGTTTGACTACTGATGTTCACTAAGATAAAACTATCCTTGGTAATTTCTTTTTAAGTTCAGAAATCATTCTCAATTGTATTCAAATAATTTTGTCATATGCATTCATTGACTACTTCAGTAAAAATTCGTCATCTGTCCACTTTTTGACTAACTCCCAATGGTACAGGTATGTAGCACTATGTTTACAAGTCTTCAGTGGGCAAGATCAACATTACTGAAGATAAGAAAATCATTGACCATTGAATTTTGAATTAATGATCGAATGAAACCAAACTTCTCTGTGAAACTTGAAGGCCTTAGGTTTATTATATACACAGCTGTGGATGTCCAGTGCTGAAAAATACAAACTAGAGCAAAATAACCGGTTTTCCAATCAATGTTAGTTTACAACGAAAATCCTTAAAAGAAAACATCAACACTTACATCTGAATACATGAGGATATGTGTCCTGATTACGGTGATTAAATCTTTTATTATATTCTTGAACAAATGAAATATTCTCTGGCCACTCGCTGAATAACTTAGGGACTTCGGATGTAAGAACTTTACCAACTACATCATCTGATTTTCCACGACTGTGTAGCTGGAGAAGAAATCTCACACAGCACTCATGAAACCAAGGATTGTCACGTGAATTTGTAATTTGCACACCACGAGAAATCCATTTGAGCATGAGGAGAAATTTTCCTGTTAAAAATGAAAACAAAACGTAAGTTTATACTTTAAAAACTAAACGTGCTACTGCAATCTAACCAAATAAAAAGTGATTAGGAATATAAATTCATTTGTTAAAGATTAGATTATCAATAAATTAGTCATAATCAACGTAGAGATTGGCACAAATGAGCGTTATCTCAAAAATGTCATAACACATTAGTACGATGAGATAAAGTTAACAAGATGAACGCTGAAATAGTTAAAATAATCCTAGTAGTAACTATGATGAGGAACATTGTTCAAAAAGACATGAAAAGGTATGTATGTAGAAATACTGGAACTTAGATGGTGAATAGATCTAAGCTAGTGTGACCGAATCCAATCCATTTCATCAAATGTTTTCAACCACTGATCACTTACCACGTGAGTCCAAACCAGGTAGTCTGAACGTAGCAACACGGTTGAATTCAACAGTCAATGATTTTATAGAATGAGCCCAAGTTTTGGATTATTCGTCTCTAGCTTTCTTGTAATCTACTTATACGCCAGCCATCATCATGCGTCGGCATAGGTAAAATACGTTCCAACTGCCTCAGTTGATGGATTCACAACCTCATTAACCGACTTGTAATCCTTACCTAATATCTCGCGCCTCACTTTTGAAAGACTCGCTCGGTTGTTCCATCACACGCGAATAATACTTGGAAGACATGTATGATCAAAAACCAGAGCCTATGTATATCTTTCATAGAGTAAAATCGATGTTTGGGCAGTATATTCATTCTTTTATTGATACACGAAGATCTCACCTACACCCCAAGTGACATAAATTGATAAAGACCAAACGAGCTTTCTGACTCTGTGCTGAAATTTAGACACCGGTGCATTGGGATTAATGAGACCTTTAAGATAACTGAAGTGGCCGGTGCACTCAACTACTTCACACCTTATGATCACGTTAACAAAAATACACCGAAGATATTTAAATGATTTTAGTATTTAATGATAACATACAAGAGTAACATTAGGCTCCTTTATAGTTCATAATTAAACAACTAAGAATGGTTTTGATTAGTTCGATGCGAATGTTCGTAGGATTCTCCACAAAATATAGCATGTCAAAATGATACATTGTAGAACATTTAGCAAATTTTAAACAGAAAAATGACTATTTAAATTTTCACTTACGTTTTCTTTCATAAACTTCAAAGGCCAAACAATAAGCCTCAATAATTTTAGGAGACAAATCCAACAAAGGGAGAAGAAATTTGGATGCCTCTTCAAGGGGATCCTCAGGCTATTTTATTGGGAGAAAAAATAACATTAAAAAATTTGAATTTAAAAACAATTAGCAATTGTTAAGTTACATGAACTTTAGCCAAAATGTGACCAATAGTTTCGTAAACAATGAAAAACAATCAAACGTAAACTACATTTGGGAAAATGCAACCAATTTTTAATTTGTGCATTTACAGTCAGCTGGATGCCTTATATAATATAAACACAAAAATTCCTTAAAGAGCTTCATATTTATGTATGTGACTATATCTTCAGAAAAAGACTGAGAAATCGGAGCTGTAAACCTCTGGCATCAAATAGCTCGGGAAAGAAAATGGGTGACCATGGATAACACAAAACGATGATCATGACAAATTACAGTTCAACTGAAGTCGGGAAACATAAATTATGGGAATCTAACTCTAAATCTAGATGTTATCGTGGTCAAAACTGGGTATGGACGTACTTGATTCGATTCTGCATAGCTTTGAAAACATAGACAACTGAAAACTCGAAATATGGTAAATATTTCTAGCGTCCCTCTGGTTTTTAATGGTTATCGAATGGCGAACATAGACTTAAGATTGATCACTTTTATACAGTTTATCAAACTGAAAAAGGCATTAACTAACAAGAACTGACGTTGACTGTTAAGACAAGTTGCTTAAAAACCTAAAAGTATTTGGAATAGTTAATTATAGTTAATATCGGTCACACTGTCATTTCATGAGGCGAAAAAATGGAGACAAGTGTAGCAGTTAATTGGTGAAAAACGGGAAAGAAACATAAACTGGTCATTCACGTACGCTAGCAAGTGATAGTACAGTTTATTCAGACAATCTTTTGTGATTTGAATAGTAGATTAAATAACAAATGAACAAAAGAACGACGGAATTATTTTTAATGTGTAACGTTAAAATATAGATATCCTTTTTTTAAGAGACTGCCATTAATATCTACAAGCATGATAAAATCTGATGCCAAAATTATAAGTCAAGAAACTTTCCAGTCAATGATGAGACTAAGGTTTCCAGTTTTATATAAGACTATCATTAAAAACAGTAAATGTGTCAATCTACAAGCTAAAAATGACGGAACAGAATTTATCGGTCATTTCACAAGGCAAGCAATTTGTAAGTGAAGGTTGAGTATTATCTCTAAAACGTAAATCCCATTTAATATAAAACTAACAAATACTTACTCTGGCCAATAAATTAGCATCTAGGTCGTTCTCTCCTATGGATGGGTTATCTGCATTTGCTTCTTCGGATGCAGGCTGCCTTGAACGAGCTGCTTGTTCTCTACGTTCCTGTTCAGCTCGAGCCCGAGCAGCTTCCGCTTCCGCACGCTTAGCAGCTTTCCGTTGTTTGTTTCGTAGCTTTTTAGCTTCAGATGAAGACATACCATCTATTTTTACATTTACAAAATGATAAGACAATAAGTACGTGTCAATTTTATATGAAATCGTTTACATTCAGGGAAATAAACTAAGCTTACTAAAATACCGAACAACGTTTTGTAAATTTATAGACACTGTTGTTTAGACTTGAGAACTGAGTGAGAAACTATCCCAAAGTAGATCTGAAATATTATTTACAGATAACAATCCAAACTATTAAAGGGTTGGTTGTTTTATTTTATCTGAATATAAAATCCCATGCACTTGGTTCCCTTTATTTGAATGAAAAATCCCCAGTTAGATGTACCCAAACGGATTAACAAGCTCAATATATTCGCTATATGATGAGATAAAAGAAAACAAGTCTTGAAGAGCTGAGTACTTGTGATACAAACTATGCACAAATTTTTCGTGAATATTCAAAAAATATATTTCATCATCAGAATTTCGCACGAGACAGTAGGATAACTAAGAACATAAGTACTACTGAAAAAGGGAGGAAATCATTTATATATGTTCATGTAGCAAGTAGTTCACTACGATTGGAGAGCCCCATAAGCGACAAATTCGATTACGGAAATAAAGTGACAACGTTGAGAAAGAAGAGGGGTAAGTTTGAAAAAATTTTACAGGATAGAACTAAAATAAAAATGTGACCTGAGTAGATCTAGTACACGAATCTTGGAGTACGATTTTTGGCTTAACGTTACCTTAACAGAATAAACGAACCGCCCAGTTTCCCACATTACACTAACTACTTTTGAGACTAAAATATGCATGAAAACCATTGGATCAGCAAGTCAATCAATTTTATTGATGATAGACCTCAATAAAAAAGTGTAAGGAACCTGAAATCATTCCACTGTTTGAGTAAAAACTCATACAACTTGTAAGCTATAGAGTAAAATACTAAGAAAATTAACAAAAAATACAGTATCGTTTAACTTCCAATACGTAAAAATAAAATTTACTTTTCTAGACAATATTTTACAAACAAGACACAATGGTCAGGACCATGATTATTTCCGTCGACCTGATCAACTATGTAGTTTTTTCAGTACAAAAAAAAACAATTTTATGATAAACTGCATTAGATGCTTAGATGAAAAATTGATGCGCTTGACTAGTCCAGCATAGCCAAATGATAAGTTAGAGGTGCTGATTGGTGTACACTACTGGTCAAGATCTGGCTTCAATTTCTAGGGAAATGAACAAATTAAGGGTCAAAAATGTGGCTGTTTTTCCTGAGGGATATATTTATTTATACTTGCGAATGAGTTGTGCATATATTCTCTATTTAGTTGACCAATAAAATCTTCCTACTTACTCTTGTTTTTCCCATTTAAGTAGCTAGTACGGGTAAGTATACAAGAAGCATATATACCAGTATCAAACTCCGAAAACCGTGGAACGTAATGTTTACTAGATACAGGAATGGATCTCGAACTGACGCGGGGGAACCTTAACCGTTGGTAACTAGAATATTGCAGAAACATGTCATCAATTTGTCTGACTGAGAAATGCTCCTAAAAAGTGTGTAAAATGTTTGTGTCTTATAGACAGTTGAAAGGACTTGAGATATGCTTGCTAACAAGTACAACATACAAAACTCGTTTGAAAAAAAGACTGACATTCGAAACAATAAATCAAGAGTTCTAACCATTTTCGCCGTGAGGAGATTCATCAACACTGTCCAATGGTTGAGAATAGAGCTGCAAGTAAATCTACAAAGAAAATAGAAAGTTGATAGAAGTGAAACTATAATGTAAGCAACAGAATCGATAGACAATATTTACCAGAAGCAAATAAAAGCAAATCAGTTAGATCGAGAGATATGTCAGATTAAGGACATACTTTACGACCGTTCATTGTTTTATTATAAGATAGTTATTGCAAGTGTAAAAGCTCCGTGCATGTGCATGCGAAGAGGCCGCTGACTGAGCGAATGAACCATACTTTATACACAAATTTATCGCCTGACATGTGATATTGGTTGGACTAGAATTACCTTTGACAGAAACTGGGTATGAGTGCATTTATTTACAAGGCTACTGAAAACTAGTCGTACATGAAGATGTAAACTTCTTGCATGTTATCAATATGGGAATCACTGGCTGCAAACCTTGTCAGAAATTATTCTGAGCAGTTCATAACGGCGAAGAAACCTTTTTTGATCAAAATCTCATTACTACTAGTTGATTGACATTTTCTGACCAGTTCATCTATCGACTAGAATTCTATTCATTGATTTTAACGACCGAAAACTTGATATCATCAATCATTGAAAACCTCCTCTATAACATTATGTTAATGAGAAAACCATAATTGAAGACTAATAATACAGCAATTGTATTCAGATTATTTTATTAAAACTAGAATTAACAAAATTAATATAGCTATGCACAATAGCAGATGAACGCCACAAAAGTCAACTTTAGCTGGATGAAATCCTGAAACAACACTTATTAACTCCATACTAGACGTACTCAATCACGAACACTACATATGATTTATAAATTATACATGTAAATAATATATATATATATATATATATATATATATATATATATATATATATATATATATATATATATATAGAAATTATATATGCAATAACTAAAAATAAAACTACTACAAGTAGTGACCTAACAGATACTGTAAGTATTATCTACACATCGAAAGTTAGACAACTTTCGGAAAAGCTTGAAGAACAGAAACTTTAGACTCACTTCAACTGCAAGTTGAGCGGTATCAAAATAAGACTGATGATCCCGTAAACGATCTTCTAATCGCAGTGTCTCAACATATGATCGTAGCGTAACCTTCCGTAGACAGTAGGAATGGAAGTCTAACTGATCATCAAGAATATTTCTGTAGTGCTACCAGTTATTGATGATTTCACATATAACAATCGAATAGATATAGATAAAAGTCAGTCAAGATAAGTATACGTCAACAAATTAAAAATGGCGTGAAATACTAATTTTTCGAAAGGGCTATCTACATCCTACAATTTTGAAACTTTACATCTTAAGTAGACAATAATTCTTGCTTAAATAACCGTAGAGAATCAAAAATAGGAGTCGATTCAGTCACTGTCTACTATGGAAACAATATCACCAATATATTTATTAATTCAGAATTCCTGAACAGCCATGTTTTTTTGTTTTGTTAATGAAACAGAAACAATCGATTCGTGCTATCATTTTTAAGACACATGTGCAAGCACAATTCAGTAGTTTTTAACACAATCTTTGACACGTTGAACTTACAGTTGTCAAATATATCATTAAATGATGGCAGAAAAATTTTGAGAAATCCCAGATGAAAACCACGGTATTCATCGATAGGGAAAGATGTGGTACTGACTTCTTAGATATTTTGTATTGACATAGAGTTTTAAGGATTTCACACACTATACACATACATATTTTGAAGCAAATGACAATAAGATTCATTTACTACGAATAAAAATCAAAATAAAAGAGAGGGTAAATTAAGGCTACTTATCATTCGCCTAGTAGACCTCCAACAGCCTGCAAAAGACGATTTTGTGAACAAGGTTTCATAATTCATCTATATATTCAAGCAATGTATTTGAATGAGTAAAGTTTTGGTGATGACGATCGCTTATGTTTTAATCGTCTCTAGCAAATGAAATTAAACTAGACTTTAAACCTTATATCTATCCACTTTCAAAACGCCTGAAATCTTGCCACCAAAAAACCCTTTATTTATGTTTGCTTACGAATCCGCACTTAGTAGCCATCGTACGAATTACCTAAACTTTGTGATTTTGCCTTTACTAGTGTGGTGTGGGTTACTTATATTCACACAAGTAGTATATGAAGGTGGTCAGGCACAGAATGCATTTCAGTAGATCGATGAGAAAAGAACGGGAACGAAACGAAATTGGTATGAAAACTAATGAACAATGAAATCTGAGACAATTAATTGATGTTTGCAACAGGAACAGTCAAGTTTGATATGATGGATTGATATTTTGCAAATTAACGATTTAATATATGGTTCTCAGATTTTATGGAGATGCTCTGTAATTATGTGCTCAACTACAGTCAATTGTCCCCATCCGTGTTCTTGTTCACTATACTAGTAGTTTAACTCTAGAGAGTAGCATTTCAACACCAGTGAGACATCCTGAAACTTAAGTACAGACATATCAAATCCATAATACGGAATTATGTCACGGAGAAGTTGATGTCTGACAGAAAAGTATCTTTTTGGATTGGCATATATTACTATTATATATAATATTATAATATTATGTCTTTGAAAGTGCTTCATTACGAATAGTTGAAAATTTGTTATCAATACACTAATCGACTAATGAATTTTGCAATTTTAAGCAATTCAGAATAACTTTTGGTTTAATGAGAATCAGAATAAAATAATTGGCGAATTCTTGATAGCAAGAGTTTGTTATCTACAGTGGAATATTTTCATTGATTTTTGAGCACAACTTATATTCACATATAGGGAAATTTAAATCTCACCCTAATTTTATTTTGAAAGTCCAGTAGTGATAAAAACATTTAAACGAAAGTGCAATTAAAAATCAAATGTGCGTTGTAAAGAATCCTGAAACTTAGTTTAATTCAACTCGATAGGCAAGTAGGGATTTGTTTATCGAGGTTAAACCATTTAGATAATATGTTTTATAGGATATATGACTTATGACTAAATACGCAAACCTAAGCGATAATTAATTTACACTGTGAACACATTTATCCACACTAGCCTATAAGTTTCAGAAACTATTAACTACACCTTGTCGAGCAATTTAGTGCACCTGAATGATTTTATATGTAGTTCTTTGAGTATTTTCTTTAGTTCGCACAAAGATATATCGACTACATTACTTTCAAAATCTTGTCTATGTAAAAACATAACCAATCACTTACTTGCTGCACTTCGTGACACAACTTAAGGGCATCACCAAATCTGCCCATTTCTTTGAGTGCCCTGGCATTATCTAACAGAAACCACATGCACTGCATCTCAGACAAGTATTCCTTTGGCGATGTGTTTCCCTATATTACAAATAAATAAGTTATAAAAATATTACCCTTGTAAATTTAGAAGCCATATTAGTAGCATCTTCAAGGCGATGGGCTTCCACCATGAATTTTGTGCAGCGAGCATTAATAAAACGATCAGCTGTATCTAAAGATTGGGCTTCTTCCATCCACCGACTGGCTGTTATATAGTCCCCTGCATCATGAAAGACATCGGCTTTTAGGACATAAAAGTCAACTAACGTAGGTGTTGAGAGCAACTGTGAATCTATGGTCTCAATGGCTTCCTGAAAAGTGAAATAATATTAATCACGAATTGTACCTGGTATTTTCTTTTGAAGTTATAATACTGAGCTAATAAATAGTTAAGCCAAACATCTGTCGTGGGGGCTTCTTTTTCATTACTTTCCTGTGCATCAAGGGATCTGATGACACTCATACTGTTACGATATCTAGTTAAAAGACTTTCAAAAGCTGTGAGCTTCTCAGAGTCATTTAAGAGCCCCACGAGTTGTATAAAAAGTGGAGGAACACCTTTTCTGATGTACGGCTTTAGGTAAGCATCCAAACGCTGGAGAAACTCCTCACCTGCAACAAAATGTATACATTCATCAAATCAAACCTGAACAATAATTCAAAATCAACCGTCTAGATAAACGGGATTGAGGGTAACGGGCAATAACCGACTCATAAGTTTTCTTTGTTGTTTCGGTATTCGCATCTGTTGTACCACTGACTAAAGCTGTATTCGCCTGTGCCAAAAGTTCAAGATATAAACGATTTTCCTGATTTCGATCAATCAAGCTCCACGAACACTCCACTGCTTCCTCATACTGTCCAAGTTTCAAGTGAAGTTGAGCTAAAAACAGATAAGCAGCAAGTAGTAGCCTACCCTTCATTTCCAACAAAGATATTTTGTCAACTATTTCGTTGCTATATTGATTTAGATGTTCTAAGGCAGCATTTTCTTTTCCAGCTTCAAGCATGATCATTGCTTGGTAGAGTAGTAGCTCACTGTGTTCGTAATCGAACTGAGGTATTTCGCTTTGACCCTTTTTGAATTCATTGATGACTGTAAGAGCAGTTTCATAGTTTCCCAGCAAATGGTGAATTAAAGCATAGCCAATCCATGATGCTTTTTGGCTAGGTCGCAGTAAAAGCAACTTGTAACGTATATCCTGACAAAAGTTTCTTAGAAGGAAAATTAACAGTATACCCTGCATCCTTCATAATCCCTTAACTGCATTTGTAAGACGGAAAGATCCCTTAGCACTTGTAAATTTTCATTATCTAACTTTAAAGCTTGCAAGTAGCACTTTATCGCTTCTTCGTACTTATGGTCAGATTTATGAATAAGACCATAGATATGCCAACCTATAGTGATAACTCAAAGCATGGGAACTTACAAACAAAGCTGGTGATGTTGGCCTTTAAACCACGCTTTACATATTCCCTTGCTTCATCTTTTTTACCAAGACAATTTAACAAAATACCCTTCATCGCCAAAGTTTCTGAAAATAAATTGATGGCATCCACATTACCGGAAAGAATGAACTTACCTCCATGTTCGCTAAATTTAGGATTGCTTAGGATTTGTTTAGCATACTTTAATCCATTTTTGTACTGCTTTTGGTCATAATATTTCTGTGAAACATGGATTAAGAGAAATAATATACACTAACAACAACTCTCTTGAATATTGAGAGTTCTTTGGGAGGGAGAGTATAAGTGGATGCTTGTTTACTCATCGTCGAATATAACACATGAACTTTAATGCCAACTCAAATTGCGAGCTTGAACATTACGCGCTTCAAAAAACACTTGTAGTCACAATGTAAAGATGATTGAGATTAAAAATATTTTGATAAATTATATAGAGGCAATGAGGTGCATAAAAGCAACCTATTTCTTCAGGTCCATCTTTAGTTAATCAGTCAGATCAATGTCTTTGGTTGCGCAATTAAAATGTTTCATTACATGTAAATATTATCAATTATATCCGAATTCATTAATTTTTTATTGTGAACACTTGATAGAAACTGATGAAAATATTTACACTACCATAAATCCTGCTGTAGAGGTAAATAAATCCCCAAAATAAATGGCTCTGTAAGTTTTCGACATTGGATGCTTACCATATTAGTTTTAATGAACTCGACTGGCTGAAAACTCTCGATCATGCATCCTCACCAGATCACAAGTGGGAACGTCATGCTCAACATCCTCTGCAATCGCTAGCCAGATTAGATCAGTCGATCCACGATAAATTGATAGCCTCCTCGTTTCTGCCTTTTGATTTCACTAGGTGGGTACGATTCATGTTGGGAGTTACTAGTTGAAGCGTTATCAAACTCCGAATACATGTGGCATCTTCACTGCTTATACTATCATAAAATGCATTTGTATAAGTAAATCAATGCTCAAAATAAATTGTTTTAAAAGTCTTCAACATTGATGCTGACCTCATTAATTCCAACAGAAGCACTTTAGCTGAAGGCACTCAATCATGTATCCACACCGGATCACAAGTGGGTACGCCGTGTTGCGCATCATTTTCAGCTGCTGGCCAGCTTATACAAAACACTTCTTGACACACCTATAGCCCTCCAAATATATCTTCGAACCAATTAATTTCTGACTTTAATTTGACTGAGTTGGTACACCCTGATTAAAAATGTGTTGCGTATGAAGGCGTTGTCAAACTCCAAATACTTGTAGCACCTTTATTGATTTCAAAAATTGGTTGCTCCATCTTCCTTACTAAGGAGCCTGAAAATACAAAGTGCTTCCACTCACAGATATAAATGGATCTAATTCGTTGTTCTCACAGTCAAGTAACCACATTCTCCTTTTAAGGCAATTTTAAAAAAACAACGTTCAATCGTTCCTGTGACATCAGATGAAAAGGATGATTTGGCACTTACACCAAACACTTTGTTACTACTAAGAGACTGTGATGGTTTGGGGATGGAGGGTAGTATTGCGGATAGATATTCAAGGCGATGAAGACAGGTTAATTGTTTAGCCAATACCTTCTGGCGTCGATTGATAAAAGAGTACATTCCTTTACTGCAAGTGAGGCAGAAATGGTTTTGCAAACACAGAAACCTAAAAGAAGGTGATGTAGTTCTGGTGGATAAGCAATACAACTACTCGTGGCTCTTGGTCAATGGGACGGGTCGATAAGTGTGAGACAGAGATGGGTTGGTAAGTACAGTGATGGTACGTATGAAAGAAGGGGTAGTAAGAAGAGATGTACGAAAGCTCTGCCTTCTAGAAGGAGCCGAGTAATTGTAGATTGTAGGTTATGTTTGTGGACGTACAGGCGTACTATTGTAAGTCCTGTGCTTCCAATTGATACAGAGAGGTTAGTAAGGAGAGCTATGACAGGGATGTATTCTAAGGTGTCTTTGAGTAGTTGGAGGTATTTTGGGGGCCGGTGTAACGGAAAAAGAACGATGAAAATCCCTCCACAGCTTTTTTTGTTGGACAGTATTTTCATTTATTTGTTTCTTCTCCCTGTTATAAATTTTGACCTTTGTTCAGATCTCGTTTGAGCTTTATTGTGTGGTTTTGATTAAAGACTTATCTTTTTGTTACCTAATTTTTATTGCATGTTGCCGGACTATTGACAGTGAGGTCGTATTTGACTAAGCTCAAGGTCACGTCGTGATTCAGTGTGACTGTTAAAATTTTGACTGTCTGCTTGGGAGGATTTCTGGACTCCCTGCAGGTAGATATTTGATCCCGTTTGTTGGGAATATATTTGTTGATTCTCAGGTATCAAATCCTTTAGTATTAACTGTTTCTTTCATTGTTTAGCGCACTACTTTGCGTTAGAGAAACTTCTGACTGTATAGCACAGGCTGTACCGTTTGAGGTATTTTGTATTGTTGATATAAGTTGTTCTATTTCTTAAATTAGAACCGTATAAACTGAGCACAGAATTTGTGTTTTGATATTTAATACGAGTGTCTCAAAAACTCTTGGCGTGCTATACGGAAGATCGTAGTCTGACCTATTCGAATACATTTTGGTTCGTCAGTTTTGAGTTCAAACCGAATACTGGTAGTTCGGTTGTTACACATAGCGACAGACAGAAGTTTAACAAAGTAGCTGCAAAAGTGTAGGAATGTCATAGTTTTAAACAAGGCAATGGGCCTGAGATGAAATTAACAGTAATTCAATAAGTTGTATATGAAAGTAGTAGATTAATGAGGAACAGATAGTAAGGACATCACATTACATGCGTGTTATTGTTGTTTCATGCTCTGCCTAACCAGGTGATGCTTCTACAGGCCATTAGTAGTAGGGCAGAAACTTGAGGTTCACACGACAACTCTTCAAGATTATTGCGTATATCTTGCAACCGCCTATAGTTATATATTATCGATTGCTCCAGTTAATTATCTGTCTACTTCAAATAAAAATGAACATAAGGTTATTTTACTCGGGTAGTGTTTAGTATCATCAGGCGGCTTTCAAATCAGTTCATGTTAGGTTTGAAGCTAACGAGTTCACCTAGATTGCAAACGAGAACGAGATTCGATGACCAAGACTAGTAAGCTAACTATTGACGCGTCCCAGCCCCAGCTAACTAGAGGAAGAAGTCCCGGATTGAAATGAGAAATATATTCTGCAACCACCAGAAATGAGTCATTCAACCAAAACAATTTAATACAAATATATATTAAATCGATATTGTCATTTAAATTTTCAAACATTCGTCAATAAGTTCATCAATTGATTACTATTCAAATATTTAAACATTTAATCGATAAGTTAATCGATAAAATTATAATGTGAGTTTTTGGGGAATTTATCGTCCCCAATACTCCTCCCCTTTTAAATAGCGTGCCTTCCTGGGGTCGACCTGCATCCTGACTGTTGCTCGCCGTTGTCGTAGAGGCCACCGTCTGGGACGTGTTTCAGCTTGTGGTTGAGGTTTTTCTTGTAGTGGGGTTGCCGGTAAGTTGAAAGTGTCTATCAGGATATCCAGATGAGTGTTTGCTTCGGTTGATGAGCGGTCTGCGGCTAACCGTTTGCGTAAATGATTCCGATGGCGTTGCCACGTGTCTCTGCCTACCTCAACTTCGTACATGACTCGGCCAACTCTCCTGACCACTCGCGCTTCCGCCCATGGACCATGGGTTGGTCTGTAGTCACGGGCAAATACAGGACATCCCACTTCGTACGTGGATCGCTTTTCAAACTTTGTCCGTTCTGGTGTCGGTGCATTACTTGGATGCATCAGGCTGTGGATCGTCCTCAATTTCCTTCCCATGAGGATCTCTGCAGGGGACTTCCGCTCCGGCAACGTCTCATTTGGTGTTGTTCGGTACACGTATAAGAAATTTTGCAACGCGTCCGCTGGCGTCCCCTCCCCTTTTGTCTTAACCAAAGCCCTTTTAAACGTATCCACAAACCTTTCTGCCTGCTCATTCGACTGCGGATGATACGGTGGCGACCATAAGTGCTTTTTGGCTAGCCGTTGACAAAATGACTGGAACTAGCTGGAGGTGAACTGTGAACCGTTGTCAGATACAATGACATCCGGTATACCATTTCGGGAGAAAATTTCTGTAAGAATTTGTATTGTTTTGGTCGTCGTTGGCGGTATTATAGGGTTGATTTCTGGCCATTTCGAAAGGGCGTCAACTACAACTAGATACATGATTCCGTTAATCGGGCCTGCAAAGTCGACGTGTATCCTGGACCAAGGATCATCAGGTTGTGGCCATGAAACTGGTGGAACTTTGGCGCTCACTTTTTCCGCTTGCTGACATCGCATACATTTTCCAACCAATTCTGTCATATGTTGATCCATTAGCAGCCAATATGCATGACTCCTGGCTATTGATTTCATTTGTCTAACCCCCGGATGACCAAGGTGGAACTGTTTCAGCACTTTTGCACGAAGTGATTCTGGCACAACCACTCTTTCTCCGAACATCAAGCAATTGTTTACGATGCTTAACGAATCCCGCCGCTGATACAGCTGTTTCATGTCACCATCAAACTTCTTAGACGGCCAACCGTTGGTGACATAGTTCATAGTCATCTTGATGATGGGGTAGCTCTTAGAAGCATTTTGTATGTTGGTTGCAGATACCGGCAAACCTCGTATTGCGGTCATCAGATAACATTCGTCGTCGTCTTCCGCTAGCAGAAATGCGATTACCGTGTTTTCCTCAGCCGCCAACTGGTCACTAATGAGTCGTGATAAGGCATCCGCCTGACCGAATTGTTGAGTGCGTCGGTATTTAATCTCGAAATCATACCCCAAGAGTGCTAAGGCCCATCTCTGAAGATGACTTGCAGAATGGGCTGGAATGCCAAATTTCGACCCGAATATTGCGAGTAAAGGCTTGTGATCTGTGAGAAGCGTGAATCTCCGACCGTATAGGAACTTGTGGAAACGGCGCACAGCAAACACAAGCAAGAGAGCTTCCCTTTCTATCTGGCTGTATTTTGTTCTGCTGGGGTTAGTGTGCAGGATGCATGCATAACGGCTTTTTCCGACGCATCCGGAAACTCATGTGAGATAACAGCACCTAGGCCATACGCTGAAGCGTCTGCTGCTACGATGATCGGCATGGCTGGATCGTAGTGTGTCAACAGCAATTCCGAACAAGTAATGGACTTCAGTTTACAAAATGCCGCATCACACTGTTTAGTCCAGTTCAAAGAGCTGTTCTTCTGCAGTAAGCTATTCAGTGGAGCGCGAATATCATGCATCGATGGAACGAACGCCGAGTAGTAGCTGACAAGTCCCAGGAAGGAACGCAGTGCCGCGATATTAGTTGGAGTGGGCATCAGTTTAATAGCTCGGATATTCTCGGGATCCGGTCTGCGGCCATCGGCATCGAAAATGAACCCCAAGTACTTTACCGACTGCAAATAAAACTGGCATTTCTCTGGGCGTAACCGGAACCCGTTGTCAT